ACTTGGGAAGCTTCATGGCTTGAGTGGGGATTTGGAATTGGACTTACCCATTCCTAGTCATCACCCTCCCCAATGTTTTTGGATCTTGACCGGGTATTACAGAGCAGCAGCATCTGGAGGGCAAAATCACGGTCTTGGGATGTGTATCTCAGCCACGTGAAGGTTGATCTGACTGAGACAAGAGATCAAGGACCCCATATAGATTTGAACCCAGGTCTTGCTAGCCTACCCACTACAGCAGGGATGGGGAACATCTATGCCCCTGCAGATGTTGCCAAACTCCCATCATCCCTGATCACTGGCCATAGTGGCTGTTGGGAGCTGGAGTCTGGCAAGATCAGGAGGTCCACTTCTCCCCCTGTCTGGTAACAATTCTTGGAACCCTGGAGGTGTTGAACAGGCTGTAAATAACGAATCTTGAGCACTTTAAGGGGTGAATGCAGTTGCCAGTTTGTTGTTTGCAGATGTTGCCACATGATCCTGCTGTCAAACATCTCTGTTGGGGCTGAGTTTGACTTCAGAGCCACAGAAGCAGAAAACAAAGAAGCAGAGCCATCTCTCCTTTTTTGTGAAAAATGTGTTGGGCTTTTATTATTTACACTGGATGCACCCCCCCCTTCAAGTCTCTCTTTTATAGAAGGAGGATGGTTCTGGGCGGGGTGTCTAGACCTTCCGTTATATCCTCCCAAAGCCTATTTTCTTGCTCCAATAAGAGACCATATTGTTTCCCCGCAGGGCAGAGAGGCGGCTGACCCAGAAATGAAGAGATGGCCATTTTCCTTGTCGCAAACGCATATTCCTCTGCCTCTTCTTCTTCTTCTTCTCCCTCCCCCCCCCCTGCCCTTAAAAGCATCACAGTTACAAACGCCGCCATCTGCCTCCTTGTCAGTCAGAGGAGAGGATGATCCAAAAGCTGCCTTGTGTCAGGGAATCTTTTCCAGGGCTCTGCGTGGAGGGAGATGTTTGCCAGGGCCTTACGCCCTGCTGCTTCCTCAAGGAATGGGGCACCCAAGGGTGCCAGAGGCAGCATTTGGGGCTTTTAGGCTTGGGTTGGGGGAAAGGAAGTTTGGCAGCAGGGGGGCAGAACATGGCAGAGGTTTACATACCAATGCACAGTGGAAGCAGGGAGAGAGTGTTCCTTCCTCTCTCACTATTATAGCTTATGGGTCATCCTGTGAAGTTAATCGGCAGAAAATTTAGGGCAGAGGTGGGGAAACACAGGACTAGGGCCTGAATGCGGCCCTTCCGTCCTCTCTAGGTGGCCCTCGGAAGTCTGAGTAGGCCATGCCCCTCACCGTCCTTGAGTGCTTTTTTCTGGCATTAAATGTGCCCTTGAACTCGGAGAATGCCTCTTCATTTGCCTGTGTGGCGGTGTGTGTATGTAGAAACCAGCCTATTGGACCTGTTACCCAACCACCGCTGGCATGTGCCCCCCAGGAGGCTGCCCAGAAGGGAATGCTGCCCTCTCTGGCTGGACGGGGCTCCACATCTGGGTCAAGTGAAAGGAAGCCGCGTCACACAGTGCAGGGCTCAGCTGTAGAACTTTCTGCCGCAAGGCATGGTGGTGGATGCTGGCTGAAGTGGCCTTGAAAAGAGTTTGCCACATGCCCCCTCCAAATAATGGACCTGCCTGTGGCCGCTGCGATTGCTGAGGCTGATGGGAATTGTAGCCCAAAAGATGTATGGGGCGCCAGGTTGGCCGAGGCTGTCCTTATGGGACCCTGCTCCAAGAGAGCTGCGGTAGTGGCCAGGGGAAATGAGCTGTGAAGAGGAACCTAAGAAGAGCTTGCTGGATCAGGCCAAAGGGGGCTCCTCTAGTCCACCATCCTTTTCTCACAGTGGCCATCCAGGTTCTCCAAAGGGAAGCTTGCAGGGAGAATCCGTTGTGGGAAACTCACCTCTGCAAAACCACTAGGAGACCTTGTGTGGCTTGGGAGCAGGTCTTTCTCCTCCTCCCTCCATCATCTGCAATGAAAGGGGGTTGGATGGAGGTGTCTGTGTTGCTGGGCTAAGGATTACCATGACACTCTCTTAACGCTTATCAAGCACTTGAGAGCATTCAAGCGAGACTTTTATTGCTATTATTAGATTGGTGCATCTGCACATTGTGTGTGAGAGAGATGTTCACATCCAAAGGTGCCTTCAGTCCTGGGTCACCCTGAGAGTGAGCGCTCATTGGCTTCCAGTCAGCTCTCTGCCAAATCCCTCGAAACTCACAGGACCGCTCCGTGAACCACACAGAAGGCTTTGACACTGGAGATGCAGAGAGCGTTGCGCAAGAAAGGATAATCTGGTGCAACAGCCAGGTAGAGAGATTTATGCTGGCAGCAAGATGTTCTGAAGGTCTGGATAAGGTTGGAGGAGACTGTGTTATCTTGGTCACCACTGGACTTTGTCTTCCTTTGTCTGGTGCAAACGAGACGTGCACGGTGGCACTTTCTTGTGGGTATATGCACTTGGGGCAATAGAGAGGTGAAGGCTTTTTTAAAAAAATAAAATCTGGCTCGTCTTGGTGACCTGGGTGTGAATTGCATCTTTTCCTGCATTTCTATAAAACAGCAATGGGGGACCTGTGGCCTTTATTGAGCTCCCGCTCTCAGCAGCTCCAGCCTGCATGTCCTGTAACCGGGGATGATGGAAGTTGTAGTCCAACAACATTTGGAGGGCACCAGGTTGGGAAAGGCTACTTTTCCCAGGGTGCTGCGCCCACCCTCAGAATAACACTCCCAAACCTCCTTGTTCTGGTAAACACATGTGGATCGTCTCCCCTTTTATTTAAATCAGCATCGTACCGCTTTAAACAGTTATGGCTTTTCCCAAAGAATGCTGGGTTGTTCAGGATGTTGTGAGTTGTTAGGAGACCCCTCTTCCTCCCTTGTTGTTGTTGTTTAGTCATTTAGTCGTGTCCGACTCTTTGTGACCCCCTGAACCAGAGCACGTCAGGCACTCCTGTCTTCCACTGCCTCCCGCAGTTTGGTCAAACTCATGCTGGTAGCTTCGAGAACACTGTCCCACCATCTCGTCCTCTGTCATCCCCTTCTCCTTGTGCCCTCCATCTTTCCCAACATCAGGGCCTTTTCCAGGGAGTCTTCTCTTCTCATGAGGTGGCCAAAGTATTGGAGCCTTAGCTTCACAATCTGTCCCTCTAGTGAGCACTCCCTTACGGATCTACAATTCCCAGAGCTCCCTGCATGGAGGGATTGACTGTTAAACCACACTGGGAATTATATCTCTGCAAGGGTAAAAGGGTTCTCCTACCAACTCTCAGCACCCTTAGCAAACTACAGCTCCCATAATTCTTCGGGGGAAGCTGTGGCTATCGTAGATCTTTTAAATGTAGTGCAGATCAGGCCCTTGGCAAAGAAGGATCTTTGCCATCAACTAAGAAATGCTCCTTTTATCTGGAGATGTCAGAGACTGAACCAGGGTCCTGCATACAAAGCCCCCTGAGCACCCTGGCTTTGAGCACCCACAGCCATCACAACCAAGCAGGGTGGTCTGGGGGCTGGTGCGTTTCTGGCCCTCCCATTCATTACGATGGGGCTTGTGCAAGAGAACGTCAGAGCGGGTGGTGGATCTGGCCTGTGTCTGCTCAACTGGAGCCTAACTGCCTGGAGGATGGCTCCTTGCCCGTGCTGAGTGGCTACTCAAGTGGCTCTCGCACTTAAACCTCACCTAGTAATTGGCTAATTCCATTAGCGAACGCCTGGTAATCTGGCTTTGTAATGAGGCACCCTCGATCCTGGCTTCAGCGTGGCAGCTTGCCACCATTGTCGCTCCAGCCAGCGGTCAAAACTCAGGAGTGACTTGGGCTGAGGACGTGTTGTTGTTGTTTAGTTGTTGGTTGCATTTATAGTCCACCTTTCCTCCAGGGAGCTTGAGGATGATGTACATAGTTCTCTTCCTCACTGTTTTATCATCACAACAACCTGCGAGATAGGTTAGGCTGAGAATGAATGACTGTCCCCAGATCACCCAGTGGGTGTTTGTACTCTGACCTCCCAGGTCCTAGTCCAACACTCTAACCACTACGCCACACTGGCTAAACACGTTCGGAATTCATTCTTTCCTTCAAAGCATTCCGGACGATGTGATGTACCCATCACAGAATCAACAGTTCCCATAACCCTTAGCAAACTGCTTTGCCCAGAATTATTTGAGAGAAAGAATGAGTTCTGAATGTACTTGAAAGAGTGTGTTCTTAGCCTGAGTAGGGCAAACTGTTTGCCTCCGGGCTTTCAGCTGGCATATTCCATCTTCCCCATCTCTCTGCCTCTTTATAATTTCAAGGGTTCTTCAGAGCCCTTCACATCCTTCCTCAGTTATATTTGCAGAAGCCGGGTTGGTGACATTATTCCCCATGTTGCTAATAGCTGATCCGCCCGCCCCCCCCCCCCAATTATGATGGGGAGAGTGGGGCTCGTTGCGAGTGCCTTGCCCCATGAGCTGGCAGTGTCCTGCTGAATTTGGTCTGTAAGCGCCTTGAGGACAGAGACTTATAGTGATGGTTCTGATGGTTCCGTATCCATTGTAATAATCTCTCATAATAGTGGCATTGTGGTGTAAGCCACTGAGCCTTGGGCTTGCCAATCGGAAGGTTGGCGGTTCGAATCCCCGCAACGGGGTGAGCTCCCGTTGTTCGGTCCCAGCTCCTGCCAACCTAGCAGTTCGAAAGCACGTCAAAGTGCAAGTAGATAAATAAGTACCGCTCCGGCGGGAAGGTAAACGGCGTTTCCGTGCGCTGCTCTGGTTTCGCCAGAAGCGGCTTAGTCATGCTGGCCACATGACCTGGAAAAACTGTCTGCGGACAAATGTCGGCTCCCTTGGCCAGTAAAGCGAGATGAGCGCCGCAACCCCAGAGTCGTCCGCGACTGGACTTAACTGTCAGGGTTCCTTTACCTTTTCCTTACGCCACATATTGTAAAATACCAGGACGGCGTATGATTGTCAAAAAAACAAAACATCATTACAAAGCAATGTAAAGATTCCTTAAGGGCAGTGGCTAGCTCAGTTGGTCAGACAGTGATGCTGATAACGCCAAGGTGGCAGGTTTGATCCCTGTGTGGAACAGCTGGATATCCTCAGGCTCCCCTCCTGCTCTACAGTTCTATGAAAGTGCTTGGTGTGTTAGCATAAAGGAGTCTTCAGGGTTCACCTGGAAGTCAAGGGTAAGGTTGCACACTGAATCTCTGGTGGAAGAGCTTTCTGCAGAATAGGAACACCCAGTTTCTGGATGAGGCCACTTGGCTCTGTGTAACAAGGGGAACAGCTAACAGCGCTTCTCTGGAAGATCTCAATGTTTGGGCTGGGATAGGAGGGTTTGCAGAGACAGCATGCCTGGTAGTCATTGCAAATTTAGGAACTTTTTAAAGGAAATAATAATAATAATAATGGTATTCAAACCAGTTTGGTGCACTTGCCTTTCTAGGGCCAGGAACCCGTTAAAGGGTGAGGCTCCTGTTCACCGTGAGCATACTGCAGGGCAGCCAAATCGGTTGCAAAGTCCTACTGGGTTAAGAGGTTTCCTTGTCAGGCGACTGAACTTCGCCTTCAAAACACAAACCGCACAAATTTTAGCGTTGGTCCAGTTTTCCCGTCAAAAGCAAAGGGCTTCTGCTTCTCCAAAACTATGCACGGAATTTAAGAACAAATACAGCTGGGTGCCTCGTGTTGTGAGTGTGTTTTGGCATTTATAAAGCAGTAGAGGATGTGATGCTGAAAGTGTTAGCTGAAACTTGACATGTCCCGTTTGATTCTTTCTGACTGCTCACGGCTTCCGGCTGGTATTTGCGGCTTTTGCTCTTGAAACTATGTAAAACGAAAACTCCCAAAGGTTCAGCTCCGGTGACAGGCGAATGTGCTTGCCAGGAGGGTGTGTGTGTGTGTGTGTTTCTTTCTCTCTTTTTTTAATTTCCTGCAGGGTGGAGTATGTTTTGACTTGAGCCTGTGACTAATGACTTGCACATGGCAACTGAATCAGAAAGCAACTCTGTCTCCCACCCCCACCCCAAAATAATCCAGGCACACTTCTTAGGTGAGGTGGGGGAGAGAGGCTTTAGTTCTTCGTAGTGATGGTGAATAGGTTTTCTTCTAGTGTTGGTTAACACCATAACTGAGGCCACACGTGCTTAAGTAACAAAAACACACGGTTAGAATTCTGCAGCAGAAAAAGCTGCAGCCTAAGAGATAGTGTGGCTGTGAATTGAGATCTTTGTGCTTATGTGTTGCCAGAAGCTTAAGCTGCTTTATAATCTCTCTGCTGATATCGGCCCACGATACAGCCTTTCTCTCCTCGCTCAACGATGGGGCACAGAAAACGGTTATAAATGCCTGGGGTGCTGTTGTGTCTCCCCACCCCAAACAATTACTGTAGGTGTAAATGATACAGCAAAAGGTTAAGGTCTTTCGCTAGAGACCCACAAAGGTGCAATTGGTCCATGGACGGCTTTGATATAGATTAGCAGTCATAAATATTATGGGGTCCTGTTTTCAAGAGTGCTTATCTTGGCAAGCATGTAAATCTGGAGGTTAACTGTCATGAGCTTTTGTTTTTCCTTGCATACCAGGGGGGTGGTATGATAAAAGCTACATTTCCTCTCGTTTTTGCAGTTTGTTTTTTTTGCATTGGGTGGAACTGTAGGCTGCATGGTGCTGCTTAAAGAGAGCTTACTTCCAGTTCCATATCTCTCTGTGACAAGCCTCTCCCCCCCCCCCGCCAAGCCATAGAATCATAGAACTGTATAGTTGGAAGGGACCCCCAAGGTCATTAAGTCCAACTCCTTGCAATGCAGGAATCTCAACTAAAGCATCCCTGCCAGATGCCCTCCCAACCTCTGCTTAAAACAAGGAAGGGGAGAGCACCACCTTCTGAGGGAGTCCAGTCTACTGTTGAACTGCTCATAGCATGTTGCACTGCGTACTGAGGTTCGACTCCCACAAAAGCAGTGGATTGCATCCAGTGCCAGTCCTAGGGTCCATTTCCTTAAGTGGGTTTCCTCTGTGTAGAAGATGGTTGGTTCCAACCCAGTACTCCTGCCTTGAGCTCCAGCTTTTGAAGGTAAAGGTAAAGGTAAAGGGACCCCTGACCATTAGGTCCAGTCGTGGCCGACTCTAGGGTTGCGGCGCTCATCTCACTTTACTGGCTGAGGGAGCCGGTGTACAGCTTCCGGGTCATATGGCCAGCATGACTAAGCCGCTTCTGGCGAACCAGAGCAGCGCACGGAAACGCCGTTTACCTTCCCGCCAGAGCTGTACCTATTTATCTACTTGCACTTTGTGCTTTCTTTCGAACTGCTAGGTTGGCAGGGGCAGGGACTGAGCAACGGGAGCTCACCCCGTCACGGGGATTCGAACCGCCGACCTTCTGATCGGCAAGTCCTAGGCTCTGTGATTTAACCCACAGAAGTTACAAGGCCCTTAATACTTTGGTATGGAAGAGTTGATCTTTGAATAGCTGGGCAATGCAATGAAAGCCATTGTTGCCTGGTTTGCTTATTGTTTGTCTTTGCAAAAATTTTTTTAATGTTTCATAACGTATATAAAACAGAGCAAACAGTTATAGAGATAGGTGTATGCTGAAACATAGAAAAGCAGGCTCATAAAATTGCCATGTAAAATAAGTGTAGTCACTCATAGGTTAAGTGTCAAAGTCCAGGTCATGAAAGAAAGAAGGAAATGAGAATAAAAGTTGTCTTTGCATAAAGAAGGAATACTAATGTTACCTGATTGCGAAGTAGAGTTCCAGATTTGCCAGGCTTGCAGTGATGGCTGGCTCAGGAGTGATTGTTCTTCTGTACGTGTCATAAAGAAATGCCAAATGGCGTAAAAAGTGACCACAGGTCCTAGCTCTCAAATCATGTGTTATCGTCTCTACTAAAATTATATTCCTGAGTGAGTGGTACCAAGCACCCAGTGTAAGTCAGGCTTCTTTATTGAAAGTAGGGATGCTGCCATGCCCTCCTCAGGTGATTTTGCCTGGTGGCAATGTGTCTCCAGACTGTCACAAATGGAGGTAGGTGTGTGTGTTTGTTCTGACTCTTGCGTGCTGAAAAGGTAAGATTCTCATCTCCTACTCTGTTTGCTTTTGCCTTGGGCCTTCCCTCCTCGTGAGGAGAATTGCACACACTGCCTTGAGCTCCGTGGAGAGAAGGTGGGAATGTAGCAACAGTAATAAAAAGCTCCAGTGAAGTTGGTGCTTAAAAAAACAATTGCCTGTTATTTGACAATATGTGATTAGTCAGTTGCACACTTGCAAGCAGTGTGGTGCAGTGGTTAGAGTGCTGCACTAGGACCTGGGAGGACAGGGTTCGAATCACGCTTCGACCATGAAGGTCGTTGGGTGACCTTGGGGCCAGTCACTGCCCCTCAGCCTCACCTACCTCTCCGGGTTGTTGTGGAGATTAAATGAGGGGGATGGGGAGGAGAACTGTGTGCACCACCTTGAGCTCCTTGGAGAACAGGGTGGGACATCAATGCAGTCAATAAGTCAATAAAAGTTGTCCCCTTTTCCTGGACCCAGCTCCCATCAGCCTCAGCCAGCACAGCTGTGCCCCAATCAGCCCCGGCCTCATCCAGTCATTCTGGCTCAGGTTGGTTTGGGTTGTAGCCACAAACATCTGGAGGGCACTGGCTTGGCTTTCTGTTGGGCATCCTAGTTGTCGTCTTGGGGTTTGCAACACTCACAGAAGATTTGCTCTTGGTCGATAAGGATCATGTTCCTACTTGTAGGCTAGGCCTTTGTACATTTTTTGGAAGGTGGGGGAAGCAAGGCCCATAGTCGGCATGTGATGTTTGTTTGCAATCTCTTGCCATGGTTGTGTCCTGAAAGCAAACAAAACTTCTAGTTTCTCTGTTTGCCGCCGTCTGCCCATATTCCGTGATTATACAGCTCCTCTGTGTAATTTCCTTTCTTTTCTTTTCTTTTCTCTGCCTGATCCACACCGTGGTGGAATGTTGTGCTGCAGAGCCTTACGGCGGAAAAACAAGCAAACTGACCAGCTTATAATTGCCAGCCTTCCAGCTGCTTTTGGCAGCCTGTTGACGGCGGCAGCGCAGCCCCTTCATAGTACAGAAGTCATATGCTTCTGTCTCCTGGGCCCTTGTGGGCATACCCAGAATCCTCTACACCATGCAGCGGTGTCATTAGGGACAAGAGTTTCCTTGTAATTTTGGTGCGGTCAGAGAGTTTGAAAACTGTGCTTTCTTTTGTCTGCTTGACACCTCGAGTCCAGTAATTTTGTTAACAGGAATACATCTTTAAAAATTACTATTATTTCATAGAATTGTAGAGTGGGAAGGAGCCCCCGGGGTCTTCTAGTCCAGCCCCCTGCAATGCAGGAATCACAGCTGAAGAATCCCTGACAGGTGGCCACCCAAGCGCTGCTCCTGTTTTGATCCCACTTTGTTGAGGCATAGCGCAAGCGCCCTTCCAGACGGGGAAGGGCTATAGCTCAGTGGGAGAGAGCACCTGCTTTGCATGCAGAAGGTCCCGGGTTCAATCCCAGGTGGCCTCTGCAGGTATGGGAGAGAACCCAGTCTGAAGCCCTGGAGATCCACTGCCAGTCAGTGTAGACAGTGCTGATCTAGATAGACCAATGGTTTGTCTCAGCGTTAAAAACTCAGATAACATAGTCTAATCTCCAAATAGCATCTTAAACCTGGGTTACAGTCCCCACAATGGAATGTCTAGGTGCCGCTTTGTTTCCCCCCGCAATGGAGTTGTTTCTTATTATTACTCATTTATATACCGCTTTATATTTTAAAGAACAAATCTCAAAGTGGTTTACATCACATGATTAAAACATCAAATAAAACACTCAAGAATAAAACAAATTCAAATGTCAAGGAAAATTTTCGATCCTTCTCTAAGTGACTTTTTGCTTTCCCCAGTTGCCAACGTGGCATCCAGAGATTTCCACATGGTCACAGTTGGATCCACGCCAGCCACAAAATGCTCCTGGCACCTGGCTAATTTCAAACACTGGTCTGACTCAGCATGAGGCAGCTTTTATGTTCCTGCGGTTTTTGATAGCAATAATGCAGTAACACCGGAGAAGTGTTTGATTCCTTCGTTGCAGGCAGTTGGTCTAGATTACCGTTGGATCTACAATTCTATGATTCGGAGTTTCACAGAGCAACAAATAAAACAGAAGGGCGTGTGGATGGTCCAGCATAAATTCACTGCTAATGTGCTGTTACTGGGTAAATGACATGCTCCAGAAGATATCCTTTAAAAAAACCCAACAGTCTGGAGGGGCTGTTTGCTAAAGCATCCTGTTTAGTAACCTGATAAGCAAGTTGCCAACCCTCCCTTGGCTTCCTTACGCCCCGCGGTGCCTGAAATTGTCTTGTCGTCTAAGAACTTTGTTCAGCTGCCTTTAAAACACCAACAACAGCTCCGTGGCCTCCACCCAGCTGGAAACAACCGGGGGACAGAAGCCGGCTTTGTCTTCCTCCCTCCCTCGCTCCAAGGGAGTTTCTGCTACGTCATCCAAAAATTAATTTTAACAGGGAAGGCTCCTTTTGGGGTAGAAAGGGGACAGCAGCTCTTTGCAGAGGAGCGGGGAATAGAAACTAACCAGCTGCGCTTCCTCCAAAGACCTGGCTGGGGCATCGTCATCAGCACTCATTGGCTAACACTCTAGCTGTCAAGCGGTGGTTGACCTTCCCTTCCATCTGTTCTCCTTCCCTTTGAGGAAAGAGGATCTGAAAGATTCTGAAACTCAGAATTAGGAACTTAGGAAGCTGCCTGATGCCTAGTCGGACCACTAGCCCACCTAGTTCCATACTGTGTACACCACAGGTCAACAAATTTTTCAGCAGGGGTCTGGTCCACTGTCCCTCAGACCTTGTGGGGGGCCGGACTATATTTTTTTCGGGGAAATGAAAAAATTCCTATGCCCCACAAATAACCCAGAGATGCATTTTAAATAAAAGCACACATTCCACTCATGTAAAAACATGCTGGTTCCCGGACCATCCACGGGCCGGATTTAGGTGGCGATTGGATGGGATCCGGCCCCTAGGCCTTAGTTTGCCTACCCATGGTGTACACTGACCAGCAGCAGTTCTTCCGGGTCTCAGGTGGGGAGTCTTTCCCAGTGGCCACCAGATGTCCCAGTGGGAAGTCTGAAACCGGGATCGGAATACGAGAGCACCCTGCCCTCCTGTGGCTTCCAGCAGCTGGGATTCAGAAGCATGGCTGACTCTGACCACAGGGGAGCAACATAGTCGCGTGGCCAGGAGCCATCGATAGTCCTCTGCTCCTCCATGAATATGTCTAATTCTCTCCTAAAGCCATCCAAGTTGGTGGCCGTCACTGGCTCTTGTGGGAGGGAGTTCCACAGTTTAACTTTGCGCTGGGTGAAGAAGGACTTTCTTTTACCTGTCTTCCAACATTCGGCTTCATGGGATGTCCACGAGTTCTAGCGTCAGAGAGGGAGGAAAGCTTTTCTCTATCCGCTTCCCCTGCGCCATGCACAATTTTGCAAGCTTCTATTGCGTCTCCTCTTACTTACCTGTCCTCCAAACTAAAAAGTCCCAAATGCTGCAACCTTCCCTCGTAGGGGAGTCACTTCACCACCTGAGCTGCACTTCTCTAACCATTTCCCAACAGGCCACAACCTGTCCCACTAAGCATTTCCCTCTTACACTCGGAAGTAACTTCCTAACGTGTGGCCTGCCTTGACTGGGTCTGTGTGCGCAGGATGAATCTCGGAGGAGCTGAGGCTGGTTCCTTGGCAGACGGCAACAAAGCCACCCACTTTCTCTTTCCTCCTCTGCTCACTTTCTCCGCCTGAACTCCGAGGTGAGCAGGGCAGGGCTCCTCCCTTCAGCGCTTGCCCTGACTCGCCAAGGATCACCATATTATTGTCAGCTCTTCAGACATAACGAGGAGTTTCCCTAAATTGAGGCACTAAAGCTAAAAATGAGGCTGTTCTGGAGGAAAACAGAAGGACTGGGATGAGCGGTGTGTGTGTGTGTATGTGTGTGTGTGTGTCCTGCAGTTTTTATGTTGGAGGGGTTGCTGCCAGTGGCGGGAAATTTGGTTGGTAATCCTGGTATCGAAACAAACACCTCTTATTCTTTATTTATTTGTTGTATTTACAGTGGTACCTCGGGTTACATACGCTTCAAGTTACATACCTTCAGGTTACAGACTCCGCTAACCCAGAGATAGTACCTCGGGTTAAGAACTTTGCTTCAGGATTAGAACAGAAATCGTGCTCCGGCAGCGCGGCAGCAGCAGGAGGCCCCATTAGCTAAAGTGGTGCTTCAGGTTAAGAACAATTTCAGGTTAAGAACGGAGCTCCAGAACGAATTAAGTACTTAACCCGAGGTACCACTGTACATCTCACCTTCCCGACCAAAGATCTCAAGGGGGCATACATGGTTATCCCCCTTCCCTTAAATCCCCACAACAGCCCTGTGAGGTAGGTCAGGCTGAGAGGCAGTGAGCCATTGGCCTGATCCAGCAGCCTCTTAGATTCTTATCCCATAAATTCCTAATGCAATCCTGCACCGTTTCGGACTACAAATATTCTGGGTCGGGGTGTGTGTGTTTTCCTCCTTTGTTGGACTGTAGCCCTTCTAGACAGTTTGGGGATTTCAGTGCTGATCTCCCAGGCCCTTGCCCCACACCTTTAAACCACCGTATGCCACACGGGTTCTTAACTGCCCATGTTTAAATCACTGGGCATTAAAACAACACACGTCCAAGGTGCGTTGCTTTTTGATGCTTTGACGGAACTACAGTACTTTGTTTTTTAATTACTTGGGAAGCGGAAATAAATACGTGCATCTTGCCTTCAGTTTGCAAGGGTCAAAGTTCCCCCTTAGCCTCTTGAGAATTGCAGCTTCTTGGGATTGTGAGGTATAGTTTTACTGCTCGTTTGTTTGTTTGTTTTGGGCAGTGAGTGTTTTCTGTGCCGTGGCTGCCTTGCCAAGTGCATTGGATGTCTGGGAAACGCTACCTTTGGACCCAGCCCAGAGACAATCGGATCCGTGGGCCAAGGAAGTGGCGCTTCTCCCCTCCACTCACGCACTTTAAATACGCACCCTAACTTGTCGTTCTCGTTCCCCCCCACCCACCCACAACTGGTGCTGGGAACACCCAACGTCAAGTGTGTGATCGACTGTCACAACCTACTTGGCACATGGCCATTCATTTCCCTCTCTCCTCCCCTAATGCTTTGTTAACGTGCTTTATGGACGGAGGGTCTTTTCGAAAAACTGGGAAATGATGAGCGAGGTAAACACTCTCTTTAAACCCACCGCCTTATTAAGTGGAGGGTCTTCCAGAAGGCCTGGGACTACGATCTTTTTCTTTTTTTTTAAGCAACTGTCTACGTTGGTTTCAGGGCCACCGCAAGGTTTGCAGGTGTCTTTTAAACAAGAAGTAGCCAAAGACCCCGGAAGTTGATAGGTGTTCAGTCAAAACTGGAGAGCCACAAATTGTTTCTGTCTTTTAATTCATTCGTTTATTACTCGCCCTTCGCCCTAAGGCCCCAGGGGCAAAGTTGCAGCATCTGGGACTTTTTGGTTTGGAGAAAAGGCGAGGTAGAGGCCACATGATAGAAGTTTACAAAATTATGCATGGCATGCAGAGTGTGGAGAGAGAAAAGCTTTTCTCCCTGTCTCATAAAGTTAGGAGTCATGGATATCCAATGAAGGTGAGCGGTGGAAGATTCAGGACAAGTTAAAGAAAGGACGCAGCGCATAGTTAAACTGTGGAACTCACTGCCACAAGAGGCAGGGATGGCCACTAACTTGGATGGCTTTAAAAGAGGGTAAGACAAATTCATGCAGGAGGAGAGGATTATCGAGGTCTGCTAGCTACGATGGCTACAATGTGTGAGTGCCTGGAGGCAGTTGGAGGATGGATGGCGGCTAATGGATTGAGGTTGAATCCTGACAAGACAGAAGTACTGTTCTTGGGGGACAGGAGGCAGGCAGGTGTGGAGGACTCCCTGGTCCTGAATGGGGTAACTGTGCCCCTGAAGGACCAGGTGCACAGCTTGGGAGTCATTCTGGACTCACAGCTGTCCATGGAGGCGCAGGTCAATTCTGTGTCCAGGGCGGCTGTCTGCCAGCTCCATCTGGTACGCAGGCTGAGACCCTACCTGCCCGCAGACTGTCTCGCCAGAGTGGTGCATGCTCTAGTTATCTCCCGCTTGGACTACTGCAATGCGCTCTACGTGTGGCTACCTTTGAAGGTGACCCGGAAACTGCAATTAATCCAGAATGCGGAAGCTGGACTGGAGACTGGGGGCGGCTGCCGAGACCACATAACACCGGTCTTGAAAGGCCTACAGTACATTGGCTCCCAGTATGTTTCCGAGCACAATTCAAAGTGTTGGTGTTGACCTTTAAAGCCCTAAATGGCTTCGGTCCAGTATACCTGAAGGAGCGTCTCCACCCCCATCGTTCTGCCCGGACACTGAGATCCAGTGCTGAGGGCCTTCTGGCAGTTCCCACATTGCGAGAAGCAAAGCTACAGGGAACCAGGCAGAGG